AATGTCTTGTGAAGCAAAAAGCTGTGTTTGTAAGAAACAAACCCATCATTAAGGTGTTTTAACTTTAAACTTCTGGCCAAAATACAAGCTTTATTATCCATAATAACGCTTCCTCCAGTAAAAAAAAAAAAAAAAAGTCTGTCTCTTGTTAAAAATCCACCCACATATTCATTAAGAACTGTTTTGGACTGTTTTTGCTTGTAAACGCTGCTTTATCTGTGCATATTTTTCCTCCTGATTCGGACGAGACGACTTTTTCACTGGAGAAAGCAATATTAGGGTTTTCGCAGTGCCATAGAAGAGCCATTTTAGGTTCAAAGAACCATTTTTTTCTTAAGGGAAGAACATTTTAATATTCTAAGGAACCTTTTCCACTCTGATGAACTTTTTGTGCAATAGAAAGGTTCTATGGATGTTAAAGATTCTTCATGAAACCATAGATTCCAATAAAGCACCTTTATCTAACAACATTTATTTATAATAAAGATGACATGTTTCATGTTTTAATAATAATAATAGCGTATAGTGTTCGTGAGGCTTCGGTGTAACTTTACCAGTTGAAATAAACAATTTGATTTCAGCAGAAATGTCTTTTATCTTACAGGGACAGTTTGATGGCCAAGCCAGCTTTGTGAGTAGATGTTCAGTATCTGATTTTCTGTTAATGCCATATGGTGCTGGCTTGCATGTTAAGCTGTTCCCGTGTGTCTGTTAGGATGTGGTGATCGGGAACCTGAAGGTGGCCACGCAGTACCGTGTCAGTGTGGGGGCGTACGGCTGGGCAGGGGAGGGCAGACCCATCAGGCTCCGGGACATCAGCACTGGGTCTCGTGGTGAGCAGACAAGCCCCAAAACATGCATTTTGATCAGCATCAATGCGCATTTAGCTCATCCGTAACAGAAATAATCAATGTACAGGATATTTTTCTCTTATGCTGTAGAAAAGTGCATGCCTCCTGCACCTCCGACCCAGGCTAAAGTGGTTGCCGTGTCAGACACAGAACTGGCGTTGTCATGGCAACATGGAGAGAGTGAAGGAAGTGCACCTGTGCTATACTTCCTTGTGGCGTATATCAGGTAAAGGATCAAATAAGAAACATATAGAGAGATAAATTGTTTTTCATTTAAGAAACATTTTCAGGTTCTGTTAATCTTTATTCATTTATACTTTCAAAGAATGAGTTTTCTGAGAGTTTTTCAGTTTTGTTGGCTTTGACTGATGTTTCTGCGTGTGATCTTTACCCTGTCGGGCCATGTATGTCCAGATTACTCATGAAACTAATGCATTTCTCTGGTAGTTACTGTTCTAGAACACAACTAACCCATTCAGACCAGTTGAGCACACACATCAAACTACTGACCCGCACCACATAACAGCCTGCTATTATGTGTGCATGAATTCTTGAAAAATGACTGATGATTGCTCTTCCTCTTTCTTTATTATTACATTTTAGAATAATAGTAAAGTCATGAAAACTGTATGAAATTATAAAAATGGAAGAATGAGAATTATATAGTGACCAAAAATATGGGAAACAATGAAATACTAATACTACAAAAAAAAAAACTTATATAAACAAATTTAAATAAAACACAAAATGACAAAAACACTAAAACTTTAACTAAAATTAAAGTGAAAACAGAAAATATAAAAATAAAAAGTATAAATTTAATGAAGTGGGTCCTGACGTTTTGCTGGTATCCTGCTGTACGTCCAGGTTAAGTATATGTGCATTTGGGTGTGAGATCCTCATTGATAATTATGCAACATGAGTCTTGGACTGTGTCCTCCAGCAGATTAGACTCACTCCCCCAGAGACCGTCTGCTTCTCAGATTAACAACCTTTCACATAATCACCGCAATTTAGCGACTCTTCAAGATGGAACAACACAAAACTGCAGATGTGTTTAATGGCACTATCAATTCCTTCTCAGTCTTGAGTGAATTTGCTGCTTGTAAATTAGAATGTTCTTATTTTGACATATGGAGTTTTGATTATTAATGGTGCTTAATAAGGCAAGCATCAGTATTACTACTGCTCATACTCAAGAGATAAGGATTTCTAATTAAATGCCGGAATTTGAATTGAGGTTGAAAACAGAATTGCAGTTTGAATTTGAATGTAAAGAAGAAGAATTGTAATTAATTTTCAAAGAAATATTCAAATTTCAAAGATATTCAAAGAAAAGTATATGAATGTAATGTGTGAAGTGCCACCTGTGGAAATTTGCATTTAGGTAATATATTTAATCATATTTGTCAACTTAACCTTTGTCAACCAGAAGACCAGGGTGCTTTTTTATTATGATTTATATTATTTCATAGCTTTTTATAGCTTCATAGTAATTCATATATAATTCATAGTTTATTTTTTACATTTTCAGTTTTCATGTTAATTTTAGTTTGTTTTAATTGTGTTTGGGATTTTGTCATTTTTTGTGTTATATATTTTTAATATTTCTGTTTAGTTTCTTATTGTTTATTTTTTTTGTCGTTTTAGTACTTCAGCTTCAACTTATTTTATTTCAGTTAGTTGCCAAGGCAACATTTCTCATTGTTGTTTAAGTTTTTAAGTGTAAGATTTTTACCTAATATTTATGTTTTATTTAATTTCAGCTTAATTTCATTTAAGGATTTAAATCTGCCCTCTCAGTCCCATCACCTCAAATCATACTATTTCTTTTCTAAACAGACTCTTCTAATCAGATTGTCTCCTGCCAAACAATATATTTCATCATATTTATTAACTTAAAGGGGTCATATAATGTTGCTAAAAAGAACATTATTTTGTGTATTTGGTGTAATGAAATGTGTTTATGCAGTTTAAGGTTCAAAAAACACATTATTTTCCACATACTGTACATTATTGTTTCTCCTCTATCTATCGCCTTTCTGAAACGCGTCGATTTTTACAAAGCTCATCGGTCTGAAAAAGCATGTAGCATTTCTCGTTTTTGTGTAAGTTTTTAAGTGTAAGATTTTCATTCAATATTTTTTTTTTTCATTTCAATCAAGTTAAGGATTTAAATCTGCCCTCTCGAGTCCCAGTCCCTTAACCTCAGATCATGTTATTACTTTTCTAAACAGACTTTTCTAATCACATTGTCACCTGCCTAACAAAAAAAAAAAAAACAGCAAAAAAGTTCAATCAATTTGTTCTGAGGGTGAAACCTAAAGTTGTAATTATAAACTTAGGCTGAACCCTAGCATCATCATTGCAAATTTGTCTTTACATTTTCTTCTTCTTCAAAAAAAAAATCTAGTACATATACAAATATGCATAATACAAATGTTCTCTGATCAAGGAAAGCAGGATGATCGTTTTTTGAAGTTTGTTGATGTGTGTGTATGTGTGTTGCAGGCCAGAGATGGACACTGAGTGGATGTACATCAGAGAGCCAGTAGAGTCGAACTCTATGGTGCTCAAGGGTCTGATTCCTGAGACGGAGTACCAGTTTGTCATCAGATCCGTGAACACACACGGGATCAGCCCTCCCAGTGCCATTAACAACCCCGTGCGCACACTCGGTGAGTTACAGTGCAGTCAGAACAGGACCTTATGAGAACCTCAGGTCTGGGTACTGTAAGGTTACTGGTTCACACTATAACCATTGTGTTACATAGGTTTCTTTGGATAAAAGGGTTTAAATGACCATACTTAAGTGTGTGGTTTGCATGGTTTATGTTGTAATCGTTATAGTTTGGATGCTCCTTACAGATTTGTATGCATGCATGGTGGCTGGAAAGACCAGACTAATTAAATTAAGCATCTTAAAGCCTGCTCATTTTGAGGAAGACCCTCCTCTATGCCACAAAAACAGCACAAGGAGGAAGATTACAGCTAGTTACCCACCCCTAACCCTCCATCACACAGATTAAGAGCAGAGACCCCCCAAACACACACACACATTTACAGTCCAATCACACAAACTTGCACACAAACTCATTCAGCTACACAGTTTCTAGAGAGCGTTGTCGTTTATGTAAGAATTTGCTGCTTTTGTTTTGTTGGTCTAGGCATTCAACCAATTTGGATCCACCCAAAAACAACTGGATTAAGACAACCATTGACCACCTCATGCGTTACTTTTAGGAACAAATTTTGGTCATTTGGTTTTGAAATGTAAAAGTGCAACAAAACAAAGAGTAATTGCAACAATTGTTCAATAATTAAACAATTTATTCCCTGTTTTGGGACCAGGCAAAAACCTGGGTTGTACACCATTCAGAACTGAATTGAGCATGTCTTTAAAATTCTAATTTAATTCCTGAATTTGAATTGAGGTAGAAAACAGAATGCAGAATTGAAATTTTAAGTCGAATGTAAAGAAGAAGAATTGAAATGCATTTCCAAAAGAAACATACAATTAAAAAAAACATTCTGCATTTAGTTGGCATATTTCATATTTTAAAAAATTTGCTTTTGTTGACCAAGGTGCAATAGTGTTATTTTAATATTATTTATACACTATTATAGCATTTATTAATATTTTAAAATAGCTTTTATTTTCACATTTTAATTTTAATTTTAGTAATTTTGTTTGTACTCATTTTTAAGCTGAGTACAGCATTAAGTTATTTTGGTTTTAGTTTTAGTAATTTTAATTTAAAATTTTAAACTTATTTTATTTCAGTTAGTTGCAAAGGCAATATTTCTAATTTTCATTTAAGTTTTTTATTTTATTTTATTTCAGCTTTTATTTGAATGAATGAAAATGAATTAAATTTTAGTTTTAGTTTATTAACAACGCTTGGGTGTAGGACTTTTTTTTCCCAGAATGCATGACCTGTGTTGAAGTTCTTTAAAATGCAACTCAGTAAGTTCCTCTTGTCATTCCAATTCAGTTCACCTCTTCCTGTACAAACAGACCCGATTTCTTAAGAAAATAACTGTGTGCAGTCAGAAACCTATGTTTCTAGCATGCTTTTGAAATCTAAAGTCAGGTGTGTTCTGTGCATAAAATCATGATGATTTTTTTTTTCTGTTTAGTATATTTATGAGGTCAAATGACAGAAATATACTATGCACTATGTAAAAAAACCAGGTTCATCAGATATAGGCAGTGGAGACTATGACCTCTACATCTCAAACTCTGACAGTAAAGATGAGGATGGGTTTGAAATCGATGACTCGGATTACGATGTCTTCATTGAGGAGGTGAGCCATCTTTTATGTTGTTGAAGAGACCTGAAACAAATTGTAATAGGCAAAAGTCACAGAAAAAAAAGATTTTCATAAATAAAATTCTGTACATGCTAAACAACATCTTGTCACAAAGAATGTGCTGTTATTTAATCTTTCTGGCATTCATCTACACATTTCTTGCAGATAAAGTCATTTCCTAGCAGTAAGAAAAGCGGCAGAAGGTCTCAGCTCCGCTCCCGCATCGGGACTCCCGGTAACGGAAATGTTATTTATAGGATGCGCACACCTGTTCCCCAAAATATCAGCTTCACTTCAACAGCAGCGGCAGTGTGGACCACATCAACAACTCCTGTAACCATGACAACTGTCACTAGCTCCGCCTCCAGGATAACCACCACACCTGTTACACTGACAGGCTCCGCCCCCACCACGCCTCCTCCTGTAGTTCCTTCTCCCAGTCCGTCAATGACGCTGTGGAAAGGGGAAAGACCTCGGGTGTATGACGTACCATGTGACAAGACGGTTTGCCCTCCCGACAGCTTCTGCATCAACGATTACGATACTGGCGGCTCTCGATGTCACTGCAACCTCGGTCGCCATGGAGACTTCTGCTCGGAAGGTGAGTTCACTCACAATAAGAGTCAATATGCTGAATGATGTAAATCAGTAAATACTGTATTTGTTTAATAGAAACTGCCAGCCAAAAGTTTGGAGTAATTAAAGTGCCCCTATTTTTGATTTTTTTGAATTTTTTTTTGAAAATTACCTTTCAATGAAGTATGTAACACAGCTCTAAGTGAATGAAAACATCCTGCAAAGTTTTAAATCTGAAAGTGCTCCGTGTATAAAGTTATTGTCTCTCAAAAGAAAGAGTCGACTCGGAATCATTGAAATGAGTAGTTTTTAAAACGAATCCCAAGCCGTTTCATGTTGAGGTCTACATGAAACATTAGCATATTGTCCCGCCCACTTGTTGGTCTTTTCACATTGGTCTGAATGAAAATGCAGCGAATCGTTTGGGAGTCATTGAGCAAGTAAGGTAAAAATAAATGCATATTATAAGACAATGAAAGTGTTTTGTGACCTTGCATGCATGGGACTCCCAAAACCAAAATATGAACCTTTCATTACCCATAGTAGGGGCGCTTTAAGATTTTAAAAATGTTTTTGGAATAATCTCTTATGCTCACCAAGGCTGCATTTATTTGATCAAAAATACAGTAATATCTTGAAATATTATTGTAATAAAAAAAAAAACAGTTTTCTATTTTTTGAGTTTTCAGCATCATAACTCCGGTCTTCAGTGTCAAATGATCCTTCAGAAATCATTCTAATATGCTGATTTACTTCTCAATTACCATCAATTATTATGTGCTCAATTATAAATACTGATTCTTGTTATCAATGTTGAAAACAGTTTTTGCTGCTTAATATTTTTGTAGAAACTGTGATACATTTTTTTCCGGATTCTATGAATAGCATTTATTGAAATATAATTTTTTTGTTACGTCATAAATATATTTACTGTCATTTTTTAACCAATTTACTGCATACATGCCAAATAAAATTATTAATGTCTATTTTTTTTTTTCATTATACTTGGCCTAAATTTTGAATGGTAGTGTATCACGGTATCCACAGAAATATGAAGCAGCACAACTGTTTTCAACATTGATAATGATCATGTGACACTGAAGACTGGAGTAATGGCTGCTAAAAAAAACAGCTTTGCATCACAGAAATAAATTACATTTCAAGTTCTATTCAAATAGAAAACAGTTATTTTAAATTACAATAATATTTTACAATATTACTGTATTTTACTGTATTTTTTTATCAAATAAATGCAGCCTTGGTGAGCATAAGAGACTTCAAAAACATAAAAAAATCTGAATTATTCCAAACGTTTGGCTGACAGTTTATAGTTATGGTTAACACATAAAATTGTGCTGTAAGTTTACCATTTTTCAAACTTTCACCAGACCCAGAAATGACATTCTGTTATCATTTATTCACCCGCATCTTGTTCCAAATCTCTTTCATTTTTGAGTGAACTATCCTTTTAAATGATGCCACTGAATTAAACCACACCTCCTCACCAAAACCCCGCCACCAAGGACATGAAAATTAATATGCAGAGACTGTTTCTGATTGACTGGTCTGATTACAGAGTCTAGGGTGGTCAGCGAGACAGATGTGATTTCTTATGACACTTATTTTGTCTGAAAATAGTATATTTTATATGTGGTATTCAAACATAAATAATCATGTAGAATGAATCATTGATGTTCTGCAGGACTTGCGTGGTGCGATGGGTTTTCTCATCTCTTTTCTTAGTAGATGTGATACAACCAGATTCTTTTTGAAGTTTAGTTCGATTCAATAAGATCTAAAACCTTTCAAATCTACTAAACTCTTCTGGATCTCAGTCTCTCTCTCTCTCAGATGCATGAAGAATTTGCGTCTCTTTTCCTCTTTCATTTCATTTCTTCCTCCATCTCTCTCTCTCTCTCTCTTGTCTTCTCTGAGGTCTCTTGGGAATGTTTAATCTTTGAGTGTGGAGGTTTTCATGTTCTCCTGGCATTCCTCGCTATGTCCTTTTCAGAGCGAGTACAATAACATTCTAAATCAAGTTGACTCCACAGAAAAGATATTGCTTTATTGTTCTAAATCTCTCACAGTATTGCATATCAGTTTCAATATTTTTAAATGCAATATATGTTGTGCTGAAAATTGCAATTTCATGACATCTCACTATTACATTACACTAAAACATCAGTTTGGGTAGTGGCCAAATATACATGTATATTATATATTCTTTCAGCCTCTAGGGGGAGTACTTATGTTTTCCATTTGTTCCAAACTTACCTGCTCCTAAAGTAAACATGCTGAATTATTATATTGTGTCTTAATCTGTTTCCAAAGAGAAGTCATTTGAATTGTTTGAATATTTATATCCGGCAAAATGTAGTATTGCTTTCTGCAGGATTTCATGCAAGATTTCTATTTCAAATAGATGCTGTTCTTTTGAATTTTCTATTCGTCAAAGAATCCTGGAAAAATGTATCACGGTTTCCACATTTATAATAATAATAATAAGAATAAGAAATGTTTCTAGAGCAGAAAGAATGATTTCTGAAGGATCATGTGACACTGGAATAATGATGCTGAAAATTCAGCTTTTCATGACAGGAATAAATTGAATTTTAAAATATATTACAATAGAAAACAATTATGATGAATTATAATAATATTTCCCAATATAGCAGTTTTTACTGTATTTTTAATCAAATAAATGCAGCCTTGGTGAGCATAAGAGACTTGTTTCAAAAACATTTCATCTTACCAACCCCAAACTTTTGAACTTTTGTCATAAACATGGACTAAAAGTCACAAAATTAGAATTTTGAATTAATTAGGGTTTGGGCTAAAGGTCATGTTCTAGCACTGTTGATGTGGCTGAACACCAACATGGCAGTGATGAACTATGGGATTTGTGCCCAAGAGATGAATCGCTCTGTAATCTCAACTCTGTCACAGAAGATGATGACGGGCCAGAAAGCTTGTCCAAACGGACTGAAAGAAATCATTTTCTATGACTTTCAGTCATAGTGTTCGGATCTGTAGACTCTCGAGACTGAAACACACAGTATATGGAGGGTGTGTATATGTACAAATCTAAGATTTAAAAAACGAGTGTCACAGGAAGTGTTGTAACCGCTTTGTATCCTACAGGTCTGATGGTAAATTTCCCCAAGTTCTACGGCTACTCCCACATGACGTTTGAACCTCTTAAAAACTCTTACCAGAGCTTCCAGATCAGCCTGGAGTTTAAGGTATAGTCACATATACAGGCAGACTTTGATGTGTTTGAGAGGTTTTTGAGACCAGACACTTATGAATGACTGCTCTGACCTCTCAGGCAGAGGCTGAGGATGGATTGCTGTTGTATTGTGGAGAGAATGAACAAGGTAGAGGAGATTTCACCTCCCTGGCCCTCGTACGGGGAAAACTACACTACAGGTATCTCCAATTTTAAATACAGTTCTTGCAAACTGTTTAATCTCCACAATTTTCTGCTGTTAAAGGGTTAGTTCACCCAAAAATGAAAATTCTGTTATTAATTACTCGCCCTCGTGTTGTTCCAAACCCGTAAGACCTTCCTTCATCTTGTTCACAACAGTATCATGACGCGAGCGTGTGGCGGCGCTGACCCAGATGTGGAATAAAGTCGTTATTTTTGTTTTCTTTGCGCAAAAAAGTATTCTTCTAAATTCTAAAGTTGTCACACGGAGAGTTCCGAAGATGAACGAAGGTCTTACGGGTTTGGAACAACACGAGGGTGAGTAATTAATGACAGAATTTTCATTTTTGGGTGAACTAACCCTTTAATTCACCTCATGCTGATTCCAGTCAAGTTTCGTTCTGTAGCTAATTTTCACCTTGGATGTTCTTTGTATTTTAAAGTAATCCATACTGAAGATTTGCATACTTTGTGGATTGTGATTTCCACACACACACACACACACACACACGCACACACACATACATATACAGTATATTGTTTTTGGTTATTTATATATGTATATAATATATATATAAAAACAAAAACAAAACAAAAATGATTTTGACAAAATAAAAAAGGAAACTAATTTTTGACTAATACTACATAATATTTACATAAGATTTATATAATATATAATATTTACATTGTGATTTTTTTTCTCTGACCTTTAACATTGATTCATGATCGTTTTTTCCATTTATATCCATTTATCGATTACTATTATTTAACCTAAAACTATAATTTTTTCATTGTTTCACCTAAAAACATTTTTTTTTGGCTTCACTGTAATCACAGATATTTCCAATGTCACTTATCCTATTGAGTCTTATTGATTCATTTCTGCTTTTTTGTATTTTGATTGTTTTCTCTATGGATTTAAATAGATGTTGTGATTAGTAGTAATTGATCTTGAATTTTATGTGTACAGGTTTAACTGCGGTACAGGTGCAGCTCAGATCGTGAGTGACAACTTCATTGTGATTGGACAATGGCACACGGTCACAATATTTAGAGATGGCATGAATGGCTGGCTGCGATTAGACAGTGACACACCAGTGTCAGGCCGTTCTCAGGTACGCTTGCTTTAATACACAAACACAGCACAAAATGATAAATTAATTTTAAAAAATTAAGTCGGGGTTTTTGCTGGTTTTGTGTCATATGCTGTATTGACCAATCAGCATGCAGGACTGGAACTATCCATTTTATTAAATGCATCTAACAACTTCAGTTCTTTCTCTCTTTTAGGGTCAGTACACTAAAATAACGTTCCGCACGCCTTTGTTTTTGGGCGGAGCTCCGAATGCCTATTGGCTGGTGAGGGCGGTGGGGACCAATCGTGGCTTTCAGGGCTGCATGCAGAGTCTGACTGTCAAAAGTAAAGCCATTGACATCCGACCCTGGCCTAAAGGAAATGCACTGAGCGGAGCAGACATCGGTTAGTTTGACATACCCCATAACTATAAGTTTCCAAATACATTTTGTCTTTATTTTGAACAGTTTTATCAATTGTTTTATGATTTTCAAACCTAAATGTCTTCTTTGTGTCAGTTTGCTTAAAGTATGCTTGTCTATCTTTCTTTCAGATAAATGTAACTTGCTATAATATTTTGCTATCCCTCGAGGGTTCATCAGTTGATGAAAAGCTGATAATTAATTAAATCATAAATTAAAAAGTTAAATAATAAATAATTGAATATAAAAAAAACACATACTAAAAAATATGAAGTATTTTATTTGTTTACCTGCATGTCATGAGATCATTAACCGACATCAGAGAACTGTGAACTTGCAAATGTGTTGTTAAAATATTGAAATATTAACTTGACTCAGGAGGTACAAGTAAATATTTTACACTACTTATCCAAAGTTTGGGGTCAGTAAGATTTTTTATGTTATTAAAACTTTTATTCACCAAGGATACATTAAAGGGACAGTTCACCCAGAAATGAAAATTCTGTCATTAATTACTCACCCTCATATCGTTCCAAACCCGAAAGACCTGAACACAAATTAAGATATTTTTGATGAAATCCAAGAGCTTTCTGACCCTGCATACAGCAATGTAACTGAAATGTTCCCAGGCCCAGAAAGGTAGTAAGTACATTGTTAAAATAGTCCATGTGACATCAGTGGTTCAACCGTAATTTTACGAAGCTACGAGAATACTTATTAAAAATAACTACCTTATTTAACAATTCTTCTCATCCGTGTCTGTGTCCGCCATTTCAGTTACATTGCTGTATGCAGGCTCAGAAAGCTTTCGAATTTCATCAAAAATATCTCAATTTGTGTTACGAAGGTCTTACGGGCAGTAAAGACTTTCAAATTGTCAAAATATTTCTTATATTTCAAATAAATACAAATAAATTCTGATTCTTTAAAAACTAAATGACAGTTTCCACAGAATTATTCAATATTCAACAATGATAATAATAAGATATGTTTCATGAGCAGTAAATCAGCATATTAGAATGATTTCTGAAGGATCATGTGACTGAAGACTGGAGTAATGATGCTGAAAATTCAGCTTTGCATCACAGGAATAAATTACATAAGGTCTTACGGGTTTGGAACGACATGAAGATAAGTAATTAATGACAGAATTTTCTTTTTTAGGTGAACTATCCCTTTAAATGAAACAAAAGTGGCAGTAAAGACTTTCAAATTGTCAAAATATTTCTTATATTTCAAATAAATACAAATAAATTCTGATTCTTTAAAAACTAAATGACAGTTTCCACAGAATTATTCAATATTCAACAATGATAATAATAAGATATGTTTCATGAGCAGTAAATCAGCATATTAGAATGATTTCTGAAGGATCATGTGACTGAAGACTGGAGTAATGATGCTGAAAATTCAGCTTTGCATCACAGGAATAAATTACATTTTACAATATATTCAAATAGAAATCAATTATTTAAATTGAAACAATATTTCATAAAATTCATGTTTTAATAGTATTTTTGGTCAAATAAATGCAGCCTTGATGAGACTTCTTATAAAAACTGCCCCCAAATTTTTGAACGGCAGTGCAGTGATCTAATGCATTGATATTCAGACATTTTTAAATGTCCACATACTTGCTGGGATCACTGTATATGTGTTCAAAGCATCTTCTTCTCTTCTGTGTGTTTCAGGCGAGTGCAGCAACAGTGTGTGTGAGAAGGTCACCTGTGCTAATGGAGGAATCTGCTTTGCCAACCGTGCGGACGGCTTCATCTGCCTGTGTCCTCTGGGCTATAAGGGCTTCCTCTGTGAGGAGAGTGAGTCACACACGCTGCCGTTTGCTGGCGTTCACACACACACACACACACACACACACACACACACACACACACACACACACTCACACTCACACACACAACTAACACCATGGCTTTGTGCCGTGACTTTTGCATGTGCACCACCTCATTTATAATTTTTAGAAACTTGTGAATTCAAGTAGTTTTCAATATTGTTTTTTTCCCTCCTTATGAAAAAATATTTCTGAATTATTATGACAAGAATATACTTATGTGCCAACTGAATGCAATGCGTTTGGACACTTAAATTCATATTTTTGACAATTAAATGAAAATGTGTTCTTGTTTTAATTTATATTTAAGAGTGCTGTTTTACCCACTTAAGTAGGACTTAAGTACATCTTTAAATGTAATATTATAAGTACAGGAATCATAATAATATGCTGAAATATTTCTTATTCTTATTATTAATGTTGAAAACAGTTGTGCAGCTCAATATTTTTGTGTAAACGGTGATACATGATTTTTTTCAGGGTTCTTTAATGAAGAGAAAGTTCAAAAAGCAGCATTTCTTTGAGAAAGAAATCTTTTGTAACATTATAAACAAATTTTCTGTCACTTTTGATCAATTTCATGTATTCCTGCTGAATAAAAGTATAAATAAATAAATAAAATTGGACTTATAAGTACATCTATAAATGCAATTTCATAATGACTTCTGTTCTCTTTGAAATATGGTTAAAGTGTACTGCCAAATGTACTGAAAAGCATTTATGGTAAACTAAAATATACTTTAATGTTATTTCTATTGAAACTTTTATCTCATGTATTTAAATATATCTATAATTACACATTTGTAATGATGAATTTGCAATGTAGTACTTTTAAAATATGTTTAATTTAAATGTAATATCAAATAACACTACAGTTAAAATGATAATCAAGTACTCTACATGTGCTTTAGTATGTTAACACATCAAAATAAGTGTACTTCTGTAAAGTACAACAAAAGATTATTAAAACATAATGATTTAAAATATACTTTAAAGTAAAACATGTAATTTGACATTATTACAAAGTCCATTTTTAATCTTATGTTAAGAAACAAAGTTTACTTTTAACTAATGTTATATTTTCTGCAAGTACAGTTTTTAAAAAATATACTTTTAAAGTAAAATTTGAAGTGCACCACAAGTGCACATTCAATATAATTAAGTGCTATTCGTTTTCAAAAGTAACAAGTGTCACACAGTTTCTCCGAAACACCTATGAACATATATATCTTACAAGACATAACATACAGCATTTAACACTCATGAACAAATGTAGTAGCAGTAATAATAAATACAATCTGCAGTTACCCGTCAACATTTTTAAACATATTTGTTGTAAAAATGTGTGATAAAGAAGTGCAAAAGTGTGACTAGGTCCGAAAGAAGAGCAGTTGCACAGTTATTTTCAGGTTCCAACATGAATGTGTGTCATTACCGGACTTCATATTTCTTCAATTCTATGGCTAATTCCTCTCGTTTCAGGTTTCCTGTTGTCTCTACCCCAGTTCAACGAGAGCATGTACTCGTACGCCAGCGCCCCCTGGCCTCAGCCATCCCACAACTACCTGTCCTTCATGGAGTTCGAGATTACCTTCCAGCTGACCAATCCCGACGGCACGCTGCTCTACACCGATGATGCGGCCAGTCGTGACTTCCTGTCAATCAGCCTGGTGGGCGGATATGTGGAGTTTCGCTTCGACTGCGGCTCGGGTGCCACAGTTATCAGGTTGCAAAACAGATAGTAGATAACTGTGAATCCACAGCTGTTAAATATTTCGTAAGGACCGGACACAATATCTTTGCTTCTGTTGTCAGGAGTGAAGAGGCCATCGCTATGGAGGTGTGGCACGAGTTGCGTGTCTCTCGAACGGCAAAAAATGGCATTTTACAGGTAGACAACCAGAGACCAGTGGAAGGCATGGTAGAGGTGAACAGTTTTATATTATTTTAAAACATTTACACTACCATACAAAAGTTGGGGTCAGTAAGATGTTTTTAATATATTGGAATATTTTTATACTCACTAAGACTGCATTTATTTGTTCATAAATGCCATGAAAACTCCATAAAAACGGTAATGTTGTGAAATATTATTGCAATTTAAATAACACTTTTCTATTTGAATATATTGTAAAGTGTAATTTATTCCTGTGATCAAAGCTGAATTTTCAGCATCATTACTCCAGTCTTCAGTGTCACATGATCCTTCAGAAATCATTCTAATATGCTGATTTGCTGAATATTTATAAGAGCTGCTTCATATTTTTGTAGAAACTGATTTTTTTTCTTTTACAGGGTTCTTTGATAGAAATAATAGAAAGTTGAAAAGAACAGAATTTATTTGAAATAGAAATCTTTTGTAACATTATAAAATGTCACTTTTGATCAATTTTTTTATGAATATTAACTATGAATTTCCTTTAAAAATAAATCGAAGTGACCCCAAATCTTTGAAAGTTAGTGTAAGAAAGTACGTTTCGTTATATACTTTTAAAGCTGGAAATGTTATTTTATTATTTTAGTTGATTAAATTTCTCATTTTATTGTTTTATTCAGTCCACATAATTTCCTTTAATGACAGAGTGAAAAAACACATTTTGACACTTTTCACTTAATATGGGATTTTGAACATCATTTAACGACAACAAAATCTGTTCAATCAGAAATGTATAATACAAGGGATCTGTATGCTTTCTTATTATTTTCTAAGTATATAGTGTATTGTATAACAACACAAATATTAATAATAATCTTTCTCTCTCTCTCAGGGTGCGTTTACACAGATAAAGTGTAGTTCTCCTCTCTTTATTGGAGGAGTTCCTAATTATGATATTACTAAGACAAGCGCTGGTGTCCTGAGACCCTTCACTGGAGCTGTGCAGAAGGTACTAGTGTTGAAGAAACTACAGACACCCAATGCACCCTGACAACCACATAGCAGCGTTAAGAAATAATCATGATTATTAAGTAGTGATTTAAGTAGTATTAAGATACTTATGCCGAGTTCACACTGCACGATTTTAGCCCGATTTTTCACTCGCCGACAGGTTTTGCGAAATCGCCGACAAATGCCCGAAATCGGAGGAAAATCGGTGCTCG